CTCTCTCTCTCTCTCTCTCTCCTCTAGAAACACTTTGTATGTATTACACTTGCACTCTCTGTGAGCATTATGAGCATCTGATTCTTGAGCAACGGAGCTGTATGGTCCAGATGGGGACGTCCAGCAGGGCGAGATTCATCAGACCTGGTGGCACTGCCGGGCTTAGTGCTTCATGCTTGTTTAAGGGGTTTAGGGTTTACGGGTTTTGGGATTAGGGTTTAGGGTTTTAGGTGTTTTGGGTTGAGAGTAAATGCGGTTCGTGTGTTTTGAACTATCAGGGTATCTCAAGGAAAAGCACCAGCAAGTCAGATTCTCGTCTTTGGATCAGGATGTGGATTTGAATAGCAGACCTTGCAGCTATCACAGGAACCCAGCGCCAGGTCCATCTTGAATGATGGTTGGGGCTGAGGGCCTTTTGATGACATAGCGGCTTCAAATGTAGTTTAAATGGGGTCTGGGGGGGTCTATTAAAGTACAAGCATGGAGAAACTCCCAGGGAATACGATTACTAGTTATTCGGGCCCCGTTCTTTCTAGCGACGGGCTCGCACCTTGCCAAATCTTGGAACTCGACGCCGAAGCTGCAGGACAAAGCAAACAGACGCAAACAGACCTTCGTCTTTCGGTGCTCATTCAAGGTTCTTGTTCCAGGAAATCGGAGAAATAATGTCTGAGTGCTTCCTCGGCTGCGGCGGGAACCTTGTGGCACATGTTGCTCGGGAACACTGCTTTGTGTGCTCGAATGTCACAAGCACCCAACAATAATTGGAAGTCAAATCCAGCATCGGTGATGCGTGCGATTTCCTCGAAGCCTGCAGTGTACTCGGCCCTCTTCCTGTCCGAAAGCCTACCCAAGTCTTGTTGAAGCTCGCGGCCGAAATGAGGTGCCCGTTTCCAATCCCGGAGTTCTTCAAACATCGTTCGGAAGAATGTGCAAGACGCCGCCATACGTTCCGGTATGCTTCCTTCTGCCACTCTTCTCAACATCGTCTTCAACTCCATCTTCATTGACCCCAGCCGCCAGGCAATGGCCTCAAGGAGGAGCCCTTTTGGACGGCCACGGCCGAAATGTCTCTTAATCGCAATGATGGCATGCTTTGCAGCAGGCGTGTAATCCAAGAAAGTATCGATCCTCTTTGAATTGTCGTGGAAGCTCGACCCTCCGCGAAGTGCTGGAAACTCCTCAGGTCGCTCCCTCGCAAGCACAAGATCGACAGATTGAACTGACTGAATGGTAAACCTGATAGCAATGTTCCCGATGGTCACACGACCAGAGATAAACCGCAGCTTTTCCAGATTCTGCGCGACGCGTCGCTTGTCATTCTCTGTGAAAGGCTCATGAACTCGCGCGGAACCCGGTCGCCTGGAGACTTGGATGTCCAGATCACTATCTGGAGCGTTGAAAGCCGCATAACTAGTGCCACGCACTGTAGATCCCAGAACTTCCAGAACAGTATCGCCGCCGAGAGCGTGGGAGCATGCGTGCTCGATCTCCCACAAATATTTTGGAACAATTAGCTGTGTTACGAGACGCCGCTCTTCTGCCGCATTGCAAACACGAATACCAAAGGCTTCCATAATATCCCCAGAGAAACGTCGCATTGTTTCCGCTGCCAGCTGGGGAGAGTTCAGCCAATTGCGAGAACACTGAGCATGCAGTTGCACAACTTTCGACCAAGAGGCCAACCATTGCTCTTGACTTGGCTTCGGAAGAGGCATGCGTGCTCGCATGATCAAGACGTTTTCTTTCCAATCAGGTGCATCTGTCACAAGAAGGTAGCACCAAGAGGTGGCGAACGGCGCGCACAGAAGCACCAACCGCGCACTGGCAGAACATGCCCATTTCTTGCAACGCATGGCTCAATTCAGAGCAGATTCCCAATCTACAGCACCTGGGGTTTCGAGCCCGTGCACGCTTCGGCTGTTGCCGGGTTTAGGGTTTAGGGTGTAGGACCTTCCTTGTGGGAGAAGCCGAACTAGGCTGTCCATAGATAGATCTTCTGAAGTGGCTTGGGAGATGCTCGCCCCCACGCCTGAAGCAGCAAGGTGCAAAATGTTAATCTGATGCCGTCAACCTGCAGGAACGGCTCAGGGGTTTAGGGTTTAAGGTTCAGGTTCAAGCCCTTAATAAGCCTAAGTATAGCGATGCTGAGCACTCCAAAACCCTCACACTTACAACCCAGGACGTCTCTGAACTGTACCGCCTGTAAATGAATATCGCAGGCCCTAGACGACGACAGCAAGGCCTCCGAAGCCCCGAACCCTAAACCCTAAACCCTAAACCGTAGTTGAGAATCTCAAGCCCGAATTTCGGAGTGCGAGCGTGCCGAAATCCTGCTACCTAGAGACTCCAATATCCCTTAATTAAGGAATATACCTTAAATCATAGTAGGATCCCTAATCTGTTTTAAGGTATATTCCTTAATTAAGGGATATTGGAGTCTCTGGGTACAGAACACCTTGTGCACAAATGAACTCTCATGCCGAGAATAGATGGTAATATATAAAGCCATGGGTGTTTTGATACCTAGTTCCATGAAACCCCTGGGAGAACCTGGTAGAAGTATAGGCATACGCAGCAATTTAAACAATAGCATCGGGTGTAGCAGACCTTCAGGAGCAGGACCCTGCTGTAAGGATCCACTTACGGAGATTTACGGACCCCCCCCAGCCCCAAAAAATACCAGGATCATTAACAGAGGCACCCCTCCGGATTCATTTACAAGCCCCAACCCCCAACCCCCCACAAAATGACACAACCAAAAAACAACAAATACCATATACACGAATCTTATGCAGAGCCACCTTCCACAAACTCTGCAAGTGTCAGAGTGCCAGTGCCATCGACGTCGAGCCTCAAAGAAAAACTACAATCTTGATTCTTAGATTTAAGGGGCTCAATTTGAAACTTATATGGTATGGGGTTTAGGGTGTTTCGTAGTTTCAGTGTTTTGGTTCTTGTTCGGCACTTTGGCACCCGAGTACTGTTCGATCTGGGTCCAGGGACGGTCAGGCTCTTTCGGAATCACAACATAACCTTAGTCGCTATACCCCTAGCCCTCCAAGGACTTTAGGAGGGACCCCTAATAGGGACCCTTAATCCCATTACCTTAAATAACCATTATCTAGTCCTTATATACCCCTTATATAGCCAGGTAGTCTCCATATTAACCCCCATAACCTACAAGGGTCCCTTTTAAAGGGTCCCTCCTAAAGCCCTTAGAAGCCCTGATTCCGCGGCTGAGGCTAAGCCCCCGGTGAATCCGGATGACGTGATGCCATCTCGTCGGAACGAAGGCTGAAGTTGCAAAAACACACATAGCGCAAAAAGCGGCATGTCATACCAAATGTACCACCACAGAGTTACGAAATGCTACTTGGAGGTTCCTGGGTAGTTGTAAGTGGAGTTGCAAGTCCCCTAAGACAGTAGAAATAAATTTCTCCTGCATATATCCTGACCTATAGTTACCCATGAACCTGCAAGTACACCCTCAACCCTAACCCCTAAATCCCTAAACCATAAACCCTAAAACCCTCTAACCTAAACCCTAAACTCCTAAGGTCCTAAACCCTACACGAGTCGTACAAAACTGAAAAAACGCCTAGGCAGCTAAACCCTAAACCCCTAAACCCCGACTCCCCTAAACCCTAACCCCTAAGCCCTAAATCCCAGAAGCATCTCAAAGAGCTCTTGCATGTTGTCGATCGGAAGGCTCCTGATTCCCAAACAGTTTAGGGTTTAGGGGTTTAGGTGTTTAGGGGTTTCGGGTTGAGGTGTTGAGGGTTTAGGGGTTTAGGGGTTTCGGGGTTGAGGTGTAGAGGGTTTAGGGGTTTAGGTTTAGGGGTTTAGGATTTGAGGGTTTAGGGGTTTTAGGGTTTCTGGGTTTAGGGTTCAGGGTTCAGGGATCATAGGACAATAGTATTCCTTATGCAGAGACTGTCGCTGGAAGGGGTTCCACCACCGGCCACAACAAACTGCTGCAGCAGCCCCTACCCCAGACACCGAGCCCCCCTCGTCATTGAGCAAAAGTAGGCTCTGAACATCTCAACCCTAATTACGAAAACCCTAAACCCTAAACCCTAAACCCTAAAACCCTAAACCCTAAACCCTATAAGCCTTGCAACGCTAAACCCTAAACCCTAAACCCTTGTAGCGCAAACTCCGAACTCCCTGGAGGCCCCTGGGTATAAGCCTTGCAACCCTAAACCCTAAACCCTAAAAGCCTTGCAACCCTAAACGCTAAACCCTAAACCCTAAAGCGTATAAGCCTTGCAACCCTAAACCCTAAACCCTATAAACCCTAAACCCTAAACTGTAAAGCTTAAACCCTAAACCGTGGTTAAGCGTTTAGACATGTTGAATCAAGACTTGCGGAGATTGGAGGCTTAGCCATTGGGAAGGTTTGTGGATGAACTTGTAGCTTACCCTAAGGGGCCATGTACCCAAATAGTATATACTTTGGCCCCAAAGTACCTTTCTAGGGATTACTTTAAGGCCAAAAGCATATACTAGTTGGGTACATGGACCCTTAGGGTTACATCCTGAAGAACCTGCATTAACCCGAAATGACCTTCCTCTAGGGGCCTATCTTTCCTAAGGAGATCAGAATAAGGAGCCCTGATAAAGGTGAGTTTAGGGTTCAGGCTTTAGGTAGTATTATTTGGGGTACCCCTTAAAGGGTACCCCTTCTGAACCCTACTTTTGGCTCTCTTAAAAGGGGCCTTATTGAGAGGGTCTATATCCCCAAGGGTCCCCCTAATGCTAGCTCCCAGGCTTTAGGAAATCAGAACAAGAAGACCTGAAAACGGAAGATTTGATACTGTTGATGGACAAAATCCTGCATTACCCATTATAAGGAATATACCATAATTCCCATTTAAGGTCCTTAAGGTCATGCAGGATTTTGTCCATCAACAGGATGGACGGGGTTGCCGACTTCACAAGCCTGGGGTTTAGGGTTTAGGGTTTAGGGGTTTAGGGGTTTAGGGGTTTAGGGGTTTAGGGGTTTAGGGGTTTAGGGTTTAGGGTTTAGGGCAAGGCACGGAAAAGCACACCAACAAAAACATAATACACACTCAACGCTTGGCCAAAGGACCCTAAACCCTCAACCCTAACCCCTGAACCCTAAACCCGGCTTAGGGTTTTAAAGTCTAGGGTAAACGAAGTTTGAAACGTCGCATTGCGTGCACGCTCGAGCCACCCAGGAGCTGAAAACCCGAAACCCTCACGGTTTAGGGTTTAGGGTTTAGGGCCCTCAACACACAGGAAACCCTAAACCCTAAACCCTAAAACATAGGAAACGCAACAAAGGTTCTCGAGCACCGAAGCAGGTAGGATGTCCACCGGAACGGCATCGAGCTCATCACGGGTGATAAATCCTCAGGCTTGAGGGCTCAGGGGTTAGGGGGTTCAGTGTTTACGGCTTTAGGGCCCCTACAAAATCCCACTTATTTCTAGTACCCCAAGCGGAACTCAGCCACAACCTGCGGCGGCAACTGATCAATTACTCTTTCCGGACTCATACTGGTATTCATACTTGGAAATTACTCACTACTGTCCCCCAAACTGTAGATGTTGAGATATTTCTGGCAAAAAATCTGCACAGACTTTCAGGTTCAACGGGGCGGCTCTTTCAGACAGTGGAACAATAAGTTTCAATCAATTAACCCGCTCTTCCACCAACTAAACCATGCTCAAACCCTTTGTTTGTTGTTTTTTGCCTGGGGCTCTCATGTATACATGTAGGAGAACACCCACACACATACACATGTGTATACACACAAATAAACAAATGAGTGAATTCAATAAATCAAAAGAATATACATATATATGTAGATATACAGAGCGAGACATAGGCAAGCACATTCATACGCACATACATACGTACATACATACATACATACAGACATACATACATACATGCATATAT